GTACAGCAAGAATTGAGTAGTACTGACTAATGACAAAAAGAACAAGTAAAATCTTACAACCCCCGGTACCTACCATGTATTGGAGACAGAAGCAAGTCGCTCGCGAGGTACCAAAATGATCCCCACCCCCATCTCTGGCAACTCGGTCAATAGTCCTTGTTCATCTCCTCTTCGCTTTCTTCATTTTCATCAATTTCTTCCAACTCATCGCTCAGCACCGGGGGAGGAATCGACGCATCGATAGCCTTCTCCTCCGCGCGCTCGCGTTGCCTCTCAATCCGTTCTGCATAGCGTCGGTCCGGGAGCTTTCGACGCGCCTACCACAGAATGTTTTGGGCACGTGAGGGGAGACCTTTGGGCCAACGGCTCGCTCCCTGGATATTACGAAACTCGCCTCAATGCCGTCATCACCTCCCCATTTTGTGCGTGGATAATCAAGTATTTGCGCGCGATTATAGAGATACTGCTGAGAGCAAGATGATCACGTGATCAACGTGATTCATGTCGATGGAGTGCAACCTTCTTCCAATCGATGATGTATCTCCACCCAGACCCTCTTATTGTATCCCCTTCCAGATTCGTGCCAGACACTTTGGTGGGGCTTGCCAAGTGAGTTCCAAGACAATCATTTGAAAATATCGCACCATAACGCAACCTCCGAGCACTTACAAACTGGGCCATGTCTTGATCACTCCGGTGATATCTCCCCTTCGCGTCGCGCTTGTTGATCTTGCCCTGCTTTGCACCAGTACCCGTTTCGCGGTGCTCTTTTTCGTGTCGCCACTTTTTCGCCCGACAGTTGGGACACAGTTTGGCGAAACCAGTTTTGCGGCCAAACATTAGGAGATCTGAGCGGGAGGTTATGTTATAGCACCAGTGACATAATTTTTTGCTTTAATGTCACAGGGTCGACAGGCAAAGATAGCGTTTCTGGATAGTGCGCAAGATTTCAATGATGAGTCACTCACCCCCTCTTCCCAACAACAGCGAACCAAGTTCGATACTTTCGGGCACGTGGATTGGGAGGCGGAAGATTCATTTTCTGTGATTTTGAGTGTTCGCAAGCTCACTTTAGTATCTAAACCGCGGGAAGGATGCTGCATGACTCACGTTCGCCATTTCTTTCCAGAACTTCACTCCACCAACCAAAAAGTACATCTTGTTGTTAAGCAGAGCAAGCCGAGCGACGGCATTCGGGCAATGTCTCAAATACCTTTGAGTGAAGCAATTTTTGGTGAAAGAGTGTATCACTGACGCAATCGAATTGTAAGGTGTGCTCACGACACGATCTTCTCCAAAACCACAAGTGGCATATCATCGAGCTTTGTTGGTTCTCGTACTGATTTCTTGCCTTTGGCTTTACCACTGGTTCTTGCCGATGCTGGGTTCTCACGTGAAGATTTCCCACTGGAAACGACGCGGGGAGCCGCGGCCAACTGGAGGGTGATAGCTTGGGAGGCTGCTGCAGCTGCTATCCGGGTTGATCTCATGGGTTTAGTGGATTGTTGCGTTTAGATCAGTATGAAGTGAAGTTTTGATAGTTCTGCAGGTGCTACTGCCGATCCCCCATCGCCAGTGTTTCGCACCTATTCTACATAAATTAGTTGAAGCGCGACTTCTAGATCATAACTAGTTTGGGTGAGATCAGAATTGCATTAGAATATTTCGTCTTGGTTGCCTAATGTTTCCGGTTTGAGAGGGACGGTCGATATATGAAACCACGGAGTTTCTATCACGATGCCCAGTTTCTTGAGAGCAGCAACTTGAAACAATCAAAACAATCTATTTTGGGGACACTACACGGGCGCGGATATTTTGACGAAATCTACGGTGCACAACCAATGAGTAAGTATCATGACGAGTGACAAACAAAAATTGTATTACTTTATATATTCGTCTTCAACTGTCTTTGATGTAAAACTACGTCCACCGCAGCGCAATTTTGCCGGGGATTATTATGCGGGATGAGGCGTTCGCGAGGGTATTCCTTCCGGTACAATGCTTAACAATGTTGTTTGGCGAGAGTGCTCCCATCAAGTCTGTACTCGACTATCTTTCTACAAATGCAATCGAAGCAGCTTCACTTTGACTTTATTCACCGCGTCCTTTATAGGGGTGAGAATCTGAAGACCCATAGATTTATGATAAACAGAAGATTGACTTAACTTAAGCGCAGAATACCTTTGCTACCACATATGCATCACACTTGTAGCACCAGCATGAGCAATCTGAAAAGCTCAGGGCTATGGAATGGTCGCCCGTGACACTTGTTGTTCGTAACACTGGGGGAGATTGCTGCCTGTGCTGGTGAGTCTCAAAATGCGCTAGCATGTGCCTATTCACGTATCTAAAGTGATTGATGGGACATTTCGAAAGTAAAAATGGACATGCGATGTGAGTAATATGAGTTAGTACATTAGTGCTTCCGCGCATCACCCATCGCGATCGCGGACTTTCAGAAGATTGAAGCCAGAAGCTCACCTACTACACAGCACTTCGTGGCACGTTAAACACCACCAATTCTCGGATGAATCATGGCATTCAGAGCATGGAGAAGCCACTAAAATCGATTGGCAGAGACAGGGACCCATGAATGGCATGGTGAGGAACCTCTGCATCGTCGTGCTCATAACCTTGATCGTCATAACACCAACCGGGGATTCCGCCCTCTTGTGGCAGAGTTTTGACGGAGGGGATCACATGTGGGCAATCGAGCTTGGGCTCGACCAGAAACCACTTGTTCTGCATTAGTGTGCACTATGAGCTTCCGATTACTTCACCTCCGGTTTGTGGGCGGCCCCTACACGCACCTCCAGTCATTGCTCATCCGACACGAACGCAAGGAGGGCAGTTTCCAGCTGTTAGCCATTCTCATTGTATAGTACGTACATCGGTCATACTGGGTCTTGGTTACAGTTCCCAGGCATCTTAACGCCAAAGAGTTGAGCGGAGTTTGGGAGAAATTGGTGAAGAAACAGCACTTGGATGCCTCTTCCTTCAAAAAAATAGACTCGACTACGTCATTTCATTATGTTCAACGATCTTTGGTTATTTGTAGTAGTGGTAGTTACGATATAGTGAGGGGACACGGTCAGTCACCGTGCAATGCTGAAGAACAGCATATACATTTCGCCAGTGCTCTCTCACTCATATAGCAAGTTGTCGTCAACCCGGAGTCTTAGCCCAGGGGATGCCCCCTTCTCATTACTGCGTGTGTTCGACCTGGCTTGTGCTGGTGACAAACCGTGCGCCCACCCCTAGCTCCTTGATTTCTTGTAGCGATAAATAGAGCTTTGCTCCTTCAGGAGACAACAAGCTCTCGATATGTGAAAACTCACTCAAGCAGTTACCACACACACAGTTTGCGTTGGGCGATGTGACGTTGCTCTGCGTGGTAAACTGAAACATCGTGAGAGACCGCACGAGAAGATTGTTACGCACAGGTGCGCCCCTTCACGAGATGTGCAAACGAAAGAAAAAACTCACCTTCAGGGTGGACAATTCTGCTCTATCCCCACAGCAGCTGCATCGCTGAATAAGACTCTCCGCAAGGGCGTCGATAAACGAATCGAAAGAGGAGCTGCGAAACATGTCCAACAGATCTTGGTCCACACGGAGACGAAACCTCTGTGCCCTCAGTGCATCAGTGAAATCGTCGGGGTGAATGTGATTGAGCCAGCGATCGTAGCGAGCGCTTTGATAGGAGAGGGACGAAATATGGCGGGGAAGGGGATTGCTTGGAGTTTGTGCCAAGTTTGCCGCGAGGAAGACTGGGAACGAGGGAGGGACCCAAGGTAATGGGCACCGGATTGAGGGTCTTTTATCGGTGCTGCAAGTTCTTGGTAGTCAAAGAACGCAAACCACAAACGATCGACTTTTCATTGAAAGTGGAGGACAACAGACAGCGCTGCATACTCTCACTCGCTGTTCAACGACCTCTGTCCACTTTCCCGAAACTCACTCGGGCACAAAACCCCATCCAAGCTGCTGTGCTCGCATGGAAAGAAACGCCGCTTCATGTGAAACAAGCTTGGGTAGCTTCTTGGTCGCCCACGTCTGTCCGGTCCCATCCATTTCCAGGTTGAAACGTCCACCACAAAAGTTGTGTCCGTTGGAATGTCTCTGACGGCCCCGCTCATGTATTCGCCTCACTGCACTGTCGCGTTGTATCCAACCGAATTCGAATCGAATACCGAACCCGATCAGCGATCGAACAGAGCCCGTGACGAACTGGATGTCCAATTCTTGGTAACCAAGGAGCAGGAGCCCCATTCGCAGACGGCTTGCCGAAAGGATTCGCGGTAAAGCCACGAGAAAAAACAGTTCTGGTGGCATCATATTGAATACGTCGCGATTGACGAGTCGGAGGGTACAGATGGTTGTCGGATCGTCCGGAACAAAATACAATATTCTTTCCAAGAGTTCATTGGGAAGCCGTGGTGAATGAGACGAGCGCACTGCGGACGCAAAGGCGCCCATAAGTTGAGTATGTATGGGAAATCGGCTCGCAAGACAGTGAATGAGTTGGAGTGGAGGGGTTGAGTGCAACCGGGTTCATCGTCGCCACTCCCGATTTTATGTAAACAATGGGTAAGTGAAACGGCGACAAAAATAATTTTTGGGGAAGAAAATTGAGCATGACATGAAAGTTGTGAATCTCACTCAACAACAGAAGAACGGCACCCCAGAGGGACTGGGCGCATGAGCGCAGGAACGATGCTCGATTTGCATTCATGAGATGGTTCGAAATATGTTGGCTAGGGATCCAGCAACGTGTCGTTCATAACGTGCAGCGAAAACATGCAACAAGGGCAACAACCAAAAACCGCCATCCGCACCAAGTCATCACAACCTATACCAAACGAGGAATCGCTAGCTCCGGAAGTCCGTTCTAGCAGCGGAGCTTCCTGTAAAATGCCAATACCAGCATATTTGCGCTCACAAACTTTAGTGCAAATCAAGAAACTGGTCTTTGAAATCGGACAACAAGCCAACAAAAATGATTCTTGTCGGGATCGAACCGACGACCTCGAGCGTGTTAAGCTCGCGCTCTGACCAACTGAGCTAAAGAACCTTTTTAAGCGTCTTGGGATGGGGCGGAACACATATCATGACAAAATCTGTTGGGTGGCTCCGAGGCGGAAGATAGCGAGGGGATCGAGAACAAGCGGACGGAGCGATGGGAAAGGAAAGGGGACGTAGGTGGAACTATGTTAAGAGGAGAAGAAGACTTGATAACTTGGTGATCGCTGGGAGAACACATAACGTGTGGTAGAAGAACACGGGGCACAACCTTTTTTGACACTCAACTTTTTGTATTTTTTGACTTAAATTTGTGTTACTGTTTTTCGTGTGCACCCGCATGTGACAGGTGGGAATGATCTCAACGTCGAGACCAGAAACTCAACCCCGCCAAAAATCTTTTGCCTGACAGCTATCTCCTTCACTCGCCTGACGTACTTTCCTTTGGAATCTCTCTGCCCGCCCTTCTGACAGTGCTCAGACCAACTCTATTCCAAACTGATATGCCTATTCGGGTTTGAAATTATATTTGACTCCCGGATCTCCAATCCAACCCTCCATCCCCTCTGTGCACCTCCTCACTCTCCTGTACTCATCACATTCATTTATTGAGTATACTCTGAGCCCTGAACCCTGATCAACAGTGGAATCTGGATGTAATGTAATGCGTGGTTCAGGAGCTTGCTGTCTTGAGCCGCCATGCTTTATTAGCTAAAATTGTGTGCAGACAACCAAATCAAGCCTTTGTATGTCCATGGGAATGAGTGTACTTACCTCGTCCATGAGAATCCCCAATACTCACCTTTGTTGCACGTTTGGATTTGCACAGCACCTTTGGTTCGTGAACCTGCCAGGTCCTTCTCCTGTTGTGCCGTTAGACTGATGGACATTGTTGTAGAAAATTCCTCCAGGGACGCAAGGAGGTTTGGGCTCTCAATTGAGTAACTCAAGGCTCGACTAGTCTGGATTGCCATTTGTCTGAACGCATGAATGGAACATTCATATTGACATTGACAATCCACCACATAACCAAATGAACTCAAGGATACCTATGCCAACACAATTTTCCAGCATTAAATCTGGTTTGACCAGTACACCCAGGCAAGATTCTTTCTCGATGGCTGTGACAATTGTGCATGCACTGCACACAATGCAGTCGGCAGTGTCATCTTCACCACTATCGCAATGACCCGCGAGTTCATCTCAAAACGCTAAGTCGGCGATCACAATATCTTTTTCATCTTCCAGAAGGTCGGTTTTGTCCGGGACTGTGTCCTGGCAGGTAGCTACGAGGGCAGCATCGATGTCCATGTTGTGAGAATGGTGGGCCCGGAATACCCGCACAACGTCCAGTTGGCCGTTGTGGGCTGCAGATTTCAAGGCGCTGCTTCTAATCTCTGCGCTCATCCATTGTGGGTGTGCGTCCAAAAGGTACTGCACACACGCTAAGTGTCCATTTTCGGCCGCTTTCAGGAAACCCTGGCCCGAATAGTTCTGCAACTTGTCCCCGCCATTGTCTATCAGGAACCGGAGGGTGTCGAGGTGACCATTCTCAGCGGCGACATCCAAAGCTCCAGAGCTGATGTGTTTACCGAAAACCTTTGTGAGAGCCTGGACCAGGTCGACCCGGCCCTGTCTACACGCATCGACCATCATGCTGTCAACGTAGCGGCTCAACTCCTCCCTTAGCTGACAATCCTCGTTGTAATCTCCTTGTACTATCGCCATATTAATACCCATCATACGTTGGACATATGTTCTCTCCAGCAAAGGAACAGTCAACGTTGTATCGAGGCCATGCTTCACAGCAACGGCCGCCGTGTTCCAGGAGCACCCATCAATTCTCTTCATCAGCATGCGCACAAGGTCCACGCAGCCCCCCACTATGGCCGCATCCAAGCACTCTGTTTGAGGCTGCCGCCTGCATTTGCGCATCACCAGCGTGACAGTAGGCATGTCGGGCGGAATGCGACCGCACTCGGCGCGCAAGGCGTATTCAGGCACTCTGAAGTGGCGCAGCATACGGGTAGCCAGGCGGCGCGGATCGCGCAGGATGTTGGCGAGGCGTCGGTTGAGTGCGCGTGTGGGAAGGCCGAGGCGGTGCTGGGTGAAGGGATCGAAGAAAGAGAAGAGGTGGGAAAGCAATTCGTTGGGGAAGGCTAGGATGTTAAGGGAAGGGGGATTTGAGGCGTTCTTGAAGGAGAGAGTGGAGAGTGGGTAGACAGAGGGAATGCGACAGACGGCAGGTTTGCAATGTACCATCAGAAGAAACCGAGAGAAGGCGCGAGTGTATCTGGAAATGGCTGCTGCCTCGAGCTTGCATCGCAGATTGAAAGGATGTGTTTTGGTCGCCTGACCAGCCCTCAGAAACCCATCCGGTCGCGGGATCGTGCACTGAACAAGCTTGGCACTTCTGAGCCAAGAAGGCCACGGGCCCGGCCATCCACCATCCGCACGCTCCCGAAAAACACGAACAGGACTCTCTGACAGACTCTGACGAATGGACACTGCAAGCAAGTTTTCATCTATTTACAGGGAAAATAATTTCAATTTACTGAATGTTTATTGGACTTTCGGCGTCAGTGAATCCTTCAGCAAGTGTCGATCAAGACACCACTTTCTTCATCCCCGCTGTCATCGGCCCTTTGAAGATCGTCTATAAAATCCTTGTAACAGCCGACCTCAGCAGGATTCAAGAAGCCGCGAGAAGGCAGGTCTTGGAAGCTACGAACGCGCTTCAGGAGAGCAGCCAATCCCTTACCGCCGCTTGGGAACGGACAGAGTTTCTGGGATCAAGGGTATGGGAGCAGTGCTGGAACGTAGTGGACAGTGGCCATGGGGTGAGTTGAGGAGTGTGCCGAACGTCTTTCGCGTTGACGAGCGAGATTGTCACCTCCAATGTGCAACATCAAACGTGGACGCAAGCTTGCCATCCGCGATGTCGGAGCGTTTCAGAGAACGAACATGTATGGTATGTTCGTGGACTTTTGGAAGTGAGTTTAGAGGGTTGATGGATCAGACGCGACTTGGTGTCGTCGGACCGACATGGTTCGGTGAAACTACGAACGGGAGAAAAACATATCAAGGAGCAAAAATCGGGAGCGCGTAGCACGTAGCCGGTTGGGCGAGTGTTTTGCGACAAGACTTCGAGTTCGCTTCCTCCAACGCCCGGTTCCTCACGATCCACAGCTCTTCCCTTGAAATCGCTCACCTCAACCAACGCCGTACCGATGCCACGCAAAAGCTGAACAAATACTCCCAGCAACTCGAACCGCAGAGAGATTTGACTAAGCTGATCAGCATGTTTGATGAGGTGGTGGAAGGTGTGCGGACTATCGGTGAGTTATCAAAGAAACGATTGAGAACTTGGTCCCGTGTGATAAAATGAGGTGTCAAGACTGAGGCGGGGTGTGAGTTCTATCCTTCAATCGTCAAACGTTCGTCGAACGAGGGCTGTGCAAGAGGTGTTCAATAGTAGGAATCCAACAGGAACTTCGAGCAGCGTCTTTGAGCGGTGCAACTCTCGCAGGAAGCGCAATTGTACTGTACCATCCTCTCATATTGATTTATGCTCCGTTGCATGCCCCTAAAACCCTCCTACCCCACATCATCTCAGCTCCGGCCCCTAGCCCAACTTACCCACCGCCACCACTCTCCATCGGGCCCCCGCTGCCCTCGGACGAGTCTTTCCTGAACCACGTTGACGCTTTCCTCCGGTGTCTCTCTGCCTGCGTCCACTACTACGACCGGCACGTCGCTTCGTGTGCTGGGTGGGAGCCAGGAGGGGAGTATTGGAACCTGGCTGATGAGGCTGACAGGAAGGAGGCTGGGTACAGAGTAAGAGAGATGGTGGAAGTGCAGACCAAGCTGAGGAAAGTAGTGGATGGATTGATGGAAGTGAAGAAGGAGGTGGCACGACGTGAGTTGATGGGAGGCTGACCCAGTCCGTTGCCTGGGATTGAGAGACTCGATGGAGATTGCAAAGATATCTCGTCTTGCGTGACATTATTTGCGGGTTGAAGCTGGAATCCAAATCACGGCGCTGTTCGGCGTCACAGAGGTCTGCATTTCCTTTGCGGACTGTGTGGGACTGCAGTTTGATCACATCCATGACTGCGTGCAACCCAATGTGTGGGATTCTGTCCTATTGGTTTTGCACTGTTCGTGTGATGTATTTCTTATCTCATCGTGGCTTACAACCCCTTCTTTGATCCCAGTTTCCTCTGTCTATGATATTCCACTGCCGACCATCGCTCCCATGCCCGCCCCCGTCCGCGTACCATTAATGAGCTCTGCAGGCGAGGCAGTTCAAAGTACACGCAACCGGGTATCGACATCATCTGGCACTCCGAACGGGACAGAACACGGACCAGCCAACCCTCCCGAAAGAGGAAGTGCACAAGTACGAGTGCAGGCGCAGACGCATGTTGTATCATTCACCATAGAAGAGCCGATGGTGATCGACGACGACGATTAGGCGTCGAGGGAAGGTAGCATGCGGAAAGATGAACACGACGAGCTCGAACTCCATAAGCTTGGCCGGAGTATCGTCGAGAGCTCTCTAAGTTCAACAATTTGCGGCCACGCATCTCAAAGGTTTCGGCCACATGGTGCAAGGAGGACACAACACTTGGATAGCGCAATCAACGCCTAAATCTGGGCCAAGAACACCGTGTGAAGGACGATTGGAATACAAGTGAAAAGTGAATTGGTGGTCTTGACTATTCGAGGATCGCGTCTTGCTACGAACTGCGCGTGTTGGATTCAAATTTGAGATTGTTGAATCAGTAAAGCCGGGAACGCGGAAAGTGAAGCGGTTGCACCTGCAACTCAATCGCTTTCGCATAATACTGCAACGCGATACAGCACTCTATCGTCACCTCCCTACTGTACACGTCTGTCGACGTGATTTTCGTCAACAGGGGTGAAGCGGGGTTAGGTACTTGGGAGGGAGAATAGTGTAGGCTCACCCCGCCAGTGATTCGGGGCACCGACACAACCTGACCGGAGTCTGCGATACCATCGTCTCCACGAGGTTGTTCCTTCTCTGAT